ACATTTCGTGGTATCGACTTGTGTGACTTTTCTGACATGTGGGCCCATGGCCCAATTTCTACCAATAGGAGAGCAGAATATAGAGCTGTGCTGGATGGGCTCTCAGTATAGAGCAGATGATGCTGGTAGTTATTTAGTAGTTTGAAACAGAGTTCCAATAGAGAATGAGGTGACAGAGAGCTGTTCCCAGAATGTCCCGGTTTTGTGTTCTTAGCTGCTCAGCATAACAAAGGAGGTTGCTGAGGGGTGAAAGGATCTCTCAGCAACTGCCTGTGTTGAGCTAACATGAGGAAGTGCGCCATCCACTCAAAAACTTGACCCAGGATAAAGATACAGCTATGATCTGAGTGGCTTCATAGAAAGATAGACCCTCCGCTCTGCTCAGCTTTTTTTTTTTTTTTTTTTTTTCTTTTTCCCAGTTCATTATTTTTATGTTTTGCAGCAGAAACAGGAAATGTTTGATGTGAAGCATCTTCAAGGCGTGCTGTGATATCGAGAAACTTTGCACATTCTTTAACCTTAAAGGCACATTCTTGGAATAACGTCCAATAATTTTGCTTTGGCTCCTCAGACAGGATGAAAAGAATTTCCAGCATGCGTCAATTCATTGTTTAAGTGTTTTGACTAATCACCTCAGGTTTAAAAAAAAAGAAATTCCAAACTCTGCATCACATTCATTCTGGAGCAGACTGCATGCAGCTGCACTTACAGCAAGGCCAAGGGTAGTGAACAAGAGCCTCCCCTCTGTCATGGCTGCCCAGGCAGACATGATGGCGGTGCCCAAGTCCTCAGCACACCAGGGTTTGTTTCTTCCAAGCACCAGCCCAGTGAGTCCCAGAGAAGCAGAGGCAGCTTTTGGAGGAGCTGGCAGTGTGGGTTTGCTGAGGACAAGGGCTGCAGACCCAGAGGTGCTGCGGCCGTGAGTCTTTCCCTCCTGGGCACAGGGAATATGACAGAGGAAAAGTCTCTTAGAGCAGATTTCCGCCTGAAAAAATAACACTCCTTCATGCAGCATTTTGCACAAAATGATGTTCTAGGGTGATCATTTCTTGATGTTAAGTATGAGCCCTTCACAGAAACAAAGGGAATGGTCCCACGGGTGACAGGCAAAACCAAGTTGTCTGAACCTCTAAGACTTGGCCAGCAAGGATGTGCATTGCCATGCCCACACAGGATTTGGAAGCACCACAACAGCTCAGTTTTGCATATAAGCATGGAGCAAATGCTCAGCCCCACATAGGCTTATGTATGCCCTGGGAATTTTGTGTGTTACTTCATTTCAACAGAGGTAGATGCAGGGGTCATCTCCACAAATGGCTTAGTGCAGCCAAGGCAGTTTTAACCTTCTCTTCCTGCCACATGCTGGTCCCTGGACGCTTTCCCTTCCTTCACCCCTTATCACAGTGGATTGGAGCTGGGAAACGCTCCTGAAAGCGCTGGCAGAGGGACAGAGCAGGCTGGGAAGGGGACATAGGCTGAGGAGGAAGGAAGGAGGCCAAGCAGCGCAGAGGACCAGAGCAAAGCCCTTCCGTCACCTTTAGACTCTTGCTGGATCTCCAGGCTGAAGATGAGCACAGAGGAGAGAGCGGCTGCAGGCAGCAGGCAGCCAAGAGTTATGGATTTGTGGATGTCTTAGTTGGCAAAGTGAAGAAGCTGCTGCTTTTTTACACTGGATGGGACCATTTGGAGACTTGTGATTTAATTCCTAAAAGCAACATATCATAATAGACATGCAGCTCACTAAAAAGGGTTTTACAGTTGTCTGAGCACACTGGAGGAGTAGAGACAGCTGGTCACTTTCCTACAGAAGTAGGTATTAACTTAATCATTTTTGCTGCTACAATCATTTAACCATCCAGTAGCACTGGGGACCTGCTACCTTATGGTAGCAGACGAACTTATCTGATACTATTGGACAATATTTACCAAGGCATTGTTACCATTTTTCACCCAGTTCTATATCAGTAAGCCCCTTTGTTGCTGCTGCTTGTGATCCCATGGGAGATTGTCTGAGCTTCTGCTGTAAGGTGCCTGGCTTCTACATCACTCTGGAGCTAAATCCCTCTCTGCATTTCATTGCTTTTGTGAAGGTCTAGCTTATGCCAAATACAATACACGTCTTAACGTCATCCTTCCCCCTAAGGCCATTTACTAATTCATGTCACAGAGGTAGGCAGCCCTTCTGTGGTAAAATAAGGATGATCACATTGCTTTGAATATCCTGACAGCCTTTGCTTGATGAAAGGTGAGATCTGAAAGATCCTGGTACTTTCTGAATGAAGCTCAGTTTAATTTCAGAACTGAGTATAGCTGAGTATTGCATCTGCCTCCTATAGGACATCATCCCCTTCCTACTGCAGTTGGCACTGGATGTGAAAGACTAGATCCTCATGATTCCACCTAAAAAAGGAATTGTTAGCAGCTGAATGTATTAAGTGTAGGCATCTACTACAATCTGACTGTAATTAGTCCTTTTTGTGGTCAGGTTAAACTCTTTTGTATTGCTGGCGTTGAAATGAGTCACTGCTGTAAAATTTCCTAGGTTGCTGCTGTTCAGACAGGATGCATTGTAGGCGTTAGAAAGAAGACAGGAAGAGCTGTTCTCTGTACAGGCTATCTGAGGGTCAGCAAAGGTTACATTTATACTAAAGGACAAAAATGAAAGGCCAGATTCAGAATACTCCCTTGCTCCATCAGTGGCAGTACAGATTCTATGTATCTGGCCCTCCACGCCCAAGTGACTGAGCAAAATTCTCTATGAATGTGAATGTTGAATGTGAATGTGAATGTTGAATTTCAAAACAGGTTTTAACAATGAAAACATCGGATTCCTTCTCTAGTTCTTACTCTGATATTATCAGCACCAGTAGTTCATGCTATACATGTGTTGGATGACATAAGTCATAAAGGAAGTACTTCTGGGTAGGAAATCTCCCTCTTGCTGAAGCAAACTCTAGGTTGAAAATTGAGAAAAGTCCTTACCTAGCCATGGAGCTGGCAGGGGCTGGAAGTTGTTGCATTTGTAACAAATAACATTTAATTCCTCTGCCTTTTCTTTTCAGAGGTGGAATGGTTCAGACCAGTGAACAGTATGAATTTGTGCACCATGCACTAAGTCTGTATGAAAGCCGACTTTCTGCAGAAGCTGTCCAGTGAAGGCAAGGAGGTAAAACCAAATGTCTGTCTCTTGAGGTAATTTATTTCATTACCTACCAGCAGCTCCTTCAAGGAGTTTACTGCAGTGAGAAGAGTGGCTTTGAAGCCAACTTCTGAAAGGATTGTGGACAGTTTGGCAAGAGTATAAAGATTGCTGGACCTTTACTGTATATGAATGTATTGTGAGCTTCCCAAAAATGATTTATAAAGAAGGTACTGTACTGAAACTACACATGGATTTCACATATATATCTAAAGGTGGGTTAATTCTGTAATCTGGTATCTGCCATATGGAATGTATGTATGTGCTACTGCCGGAGTCGACTGGACATAGAAACTTCTCCTGAAGAAATGTTTATCAAGTGTATAAATGCTTTAATGTTTGCAAAATGTCTTGTGAATGGACTGTCAACTGTACTGTAAAGTGCTATTACTGATTATGTGGTGAGCTTGTTTCTTGGCCACATAATATTCTTGCTGCTAAAATTGCAAGTGTTCAATAATGGATTTAAAAAAAGAAAAAGATGAGATTTAAGTCTTGTTTTTGAAAATATTCAAAAGCAGTTAATATTTTATATGGAAATATATGTTCTTCATACTATTAACTATTAAATGTGTATTTACTGTAGGTCTTACGGAGCAGCTGCAGAGCACAATGTCTGTTATTCAGTGTGTATGTGTTTACCCTGTACTGTTGACTGTCCTAGAACATGCTTCTGCTACAGACCTGAATCCAGTGTATTTGTAAATTGTGTAAGTCATTTTACTTTAAAGTTTTAAAAGAAACTTTGTAGCATATATTAAATGGTGAGGATTTTAAATATTTGTCTGTCTTTTATTAATATGGAATTTTTTGCTTACGTTGTTTATCCGCTCTATCTCTTTCAGTAAGAGATAGATGCCTTTAGTGATATGGACTGTTCCATGGCAGGTTATACAAGAACGAAAATGCTGCTATGACTGTTTCCTTACTGCTCAGTAAGAATTTGTTTTTCAGAGAAAAGCAAAGTTGGCATTATGACTTACAACACTGGGAAGTCTGTTCACAGGGTATCATGAGTTTTTAATGCAGTGATGTTGATTTTGCTTCATACTGCTAATAAATTACACTTGATATAAAACATTTACTGAAGTCTCTGGGTTTTTTTTTTTTTTTGCTTAGAGTAATTTGACGCATACTCTTGTACTCCCAGAACAGGCAGAGCATGGTACAGTTTGGTTATATACATCATGGCTTCAGACCACTGGAGAGTAAATCCTACTGACATTCAGCAAAGTGGAACACCTGGTGAAGGCATAATCAGCAGCACCTGATCCTCAAGGGAGTTTATATTTATGTGTATATATATATATATATATACATATAAAGCCCATACCTGAGAAACCTGCCTCCTCTACTCCTCCTTCTCCTCCCCATCTCTGCTTGGCTTTTTAGGACTTGTAGAGCTAGAAATATCAATGTCAGGGTTTTGCTTGATCACAAATAATTACAAAAATGTGTACATGTTCTCTGGATAATACTTATTCAGCACCATCCAGATCACTTGAGAACTGATAACATTTCACAGGCAATTAATTACACAAAAGTACTATCCCTTTTCTTTGGACTTTTAGCCTAAAGAGGTTCAACCATCTCTTTTAGCGCCTTGTGTGTTTGCATTTTTCCAAAATAAAGCAGCTAGTAAATTGTGAAGAATCACATGAAACGACAAAGTGGTGTAAAACTCCCCAAAACAATTGAATAGAAGGAAGTGCTCGTCACTGACTTTTTCCCCCTGTGAAGGCACGTTTCCTTCCTAGCCTTCGCTTCGCTTATCTGAGGTGGTTTTTTTTTAAGAGAAGCATGGGCAGTTGCTAGAGGGAAAATGGAGTCTTTAATTCACGTCCTGGTTTTTACCTGTCTTGCCTTGATGTTTTCAGGTAAGTGTCTCTCCCCACCTCTCCTCCACCGTTCGGTCTTTCCACCACTGAGCAGAAACCTCCAAGGCAGCCAGGGACTTACAGAACAGTGTCACTTCTTTGCTTGAGCTCATACAAGGGGAATGGGGGGCAGGGCCAACGCAGAAAGTTCTGTTTAGGTTTCTCTTTCAGTGCTGGATATACCTCTTTTTGTTTTTAAGATCTCTCGCTTGACAATGCAGGAGATGAGCTTTGGAGCAATCTCTTTGAAGGGGAAAATTCCTATTTTTCTTTCTGCTTTGTATAACTTCCAGAAACAGGAGTTTTCTGTGATACTTAGTTGGAAACTACCCAGAAGTGTAAAAACAGAGGAATGAAAAACCTCAACGTAGAGAAATACGCATTGGTTTTAGCTGTGATTAATAAAATGTTATAACTAAAAACGTAACTAATAAAATGTTTGAGTAACTGAGAGCAGAAAAAAACATAAATAAGATGGGGTAGAGAGGCTGCACTTGAAATATCCAGATCTGTACTCCATGATGTGTGCTTTTTTTTTGCCCTGGTAACTTTAGAGCTTTTTGATAAATGAGTTGCAGTTGTTTTCATTTAAATGTTTGCTTTCGGTATTTATGTATGGCAGAACAAAGAGCTGAGCAGATACAAATTAAGGTGGTCACAGAACTAGCAGCTAGAGATACTGGAGTAAATCCTGTAAGAGACGTACTTCCTATCCATAAGGAGCCTCCATTCCTATAAAGGCATGGGTATTGAGAGGCATTTTTCTTAGTCTTTTCTTCACTGACACTAAGAGTTTTACTAAGCCAATTTGCAGGCAGAAAATTATACCTCAAAAATACTGGACCATAAAACTGAAAAAAAGACAGAGATCTTGTAGATGAGTGTATGTTTTCAAGAGGGGAAAGTGGGGTGTTTAGAACGGGTATCTTAAGTTAGAAATTCTTGTATTTCTTTTATATCCAGTTTAGATTTTTCTTCATTTTTATTTCTAATGAAGGTCAAGGTGGCATTTGCCACAACAGTTTGCTTTTGTATCTTGACATTACTGTGAAATAGTGCTTGCATTTTGGGTTCTTTCATATAGATTCAACACATGGAAAGTTGAATGTGTAGAAAGCAGGAAGATTTATTTGCTAATGTATTTTAAATCATCAAGAATTTACTTTTTGTTAAATGACCATGTATAATCAATTGTATTTTCTGGAATTTTCCACTTCCAGAAGCGTTTCTGATCATCCATGTCCAGAGACAGCAGTGTCTTTCAGAAAGGAGAGGAGTCATTATGGAAAGGTGCAATATGAGCAGCCCCAACCAGCAGTGGCAATGGATGGCTGATGACAGGCTCCTGCATGTGAAATCTGGACAGTGCCTGAGCATCTCCACACGCTCCGCACTGTCCTCTCGCAGCATCATCATCAATTGCTCTCAGGCAGTTAGGTGGACTTGCCATGAGGAAGATGGGCTCCTGAAGGTAGCCAACAGCTCACTCTTTCTTACCAAGCAAGGTCAGAAGGTAATGGCCAAGCAGAGTAAGAAATATCTTCATACATGGATGCAGCTTGAAGCCAACGAGATGGGAAAACCTGTCTATGTAAATCTGTGTTCAAAGCAAGGTGAGCTATTCCTTTGAAAACATACCTTGGAAGTTGGTGAGTTTGGTGGAGTTTAGTAAAGCACTGGCACAGGCTGCCCAGAAGGGTTGTGGATGCCCTATTCCTGGAGGTGTTCAAAGCCAGGTTGGATGGGGCCCTGGGCAGCATGATCTGGTGGGTGGGGTGGTAACTACTCACAGAAGGGCAGTTGGAACAGGATGATCTTTAAGGTCTCCTCCAACCTAAGCCATTCTGTGAATCTATAGTTCTACGATAAGTTTAAGTAACAAAAATGTCTCTTCTATCTTACTCAAACGTTAAGAATTATGCTGTTTGATTCAAACATAAAAACACTTTTTCATAGTAAAAAAAAAAGAGTTAAAAAACCATAAAAGGAAAGTTGACATTAGTGCTGTCTTTCTGAAAATCAGGTTTTTTTTCCAATCAGGATGTCCCCCCCTCTTCTCTACTCACAGTCCATGGATCAAAATACTTACGTACAAGCTCAGCTCACTATTCCTGTGTCATTTCCTTCTTTATTTGTAAACAGAAACATAGATTATAATTCCTTGTAGTTTTTAAAATATGGATGTGTGCAAGTCCTTCTCCCCATTCATTTTATCACACAATCCAGATTCAATATGTCAAGAACAAGAAAGTATCAGAAAATCAAAATACATTTATTACTCTGATTACCCCAAAGGCATGATCAGTTGAGCCGTATAGTTACACATTCATATGTTTATACAGATTCACTCTACCCTTGGATGGAACATCTATGAGAGCATTCAAAATCCTGAATACAATCTTAGAAATTCCTGCCATGGCATTTAGATATGCATGGGCCTATGCACGTGCTTCTGGATGTGTTAATACACCTGCATTACATATATTACATATCTGTAGCAAAAAGAAAAAAGGAAGGTTTTAATTTATTTAGTTATGTTTTCCTTGATATCCTGTTGTCAATCATTCATAACAATCCTTTTGGTATTCTACTTGCACATTTTGAAGTTGCTCTTCGTGGTAAGTGAAGACAACCTGCACAGTTAAGACTTTTAGTGGGAAACACACCATTTATTCTTGTATTTACATGATTTTTAAAATGTTTCATGATTCAATACTTTTGCATCTGGCCAAGTTTTCAGAACATTTAAAACAAATTCCTTGTTCTTTCTAACCCGAGAATGTTGGGGTATGATTGATAGCTGATCCTCCCATTCCTTCTAAGGTACCAATTTTTTTCAGCCAATCAGCATTTGCAGCAACCTTGGCACAGCAACAGGACCACTCACTTCAGTGTCTGAAAGGAAAACTTGCATAATCAAGGAAACGAACATTGACTGAGATGCAGTCCCAGCCTTCCCATATATTTTAAAGATTTAGAAGGCAAAATAATATGGAGTTCTGTGTACCTTTGAGTAGAGTGAGAGTAGCTTATTCAAAGACATTGTGAGAAGTTAAGATGAGGTATCCAGGCAGTGTTACTTCTGCTGATAGCTGGATAAAGTGTTGCCTAATAAATTTAAGGTAAACTTGAATCCTTTTCTTACTCATCATCAGAGGAGGAGCAATTTAAGACCAGTGAGTACTGAGCAAGACAATTGTCCTGGTAAAGAAGCCTGCTGATTCACTGTATTAGTTATCTCCTTTTTGACAGTTCATGGAAGCTGAGTGAATTACACCTTGTGATCCACAATACCTAACTAAGAATTCCAAGTATTCAAGAGTAGAAGTAATGCAAAGAGATGCATTTTTTCACATGAAAATATTAGTAAGTACTGCAATAAAAAAATCTAATTCCCACAGTGCTGATCTTGATGGTCATATAAACGTCAAAAATTTCAATGCTGAATTCTTAAAATTACTCTTCTAAGCACATCTATCTAAATTCAGCAAACCCTGCAGGGGATAAGCCTAAAATTACATATTCAATCTATATTTAGATAAGATGGTAAAAACTAAGCAATCTTTGGAGCTGAAATGGTTGTATATTTTTCTACTCCTGAGTAATATCACATTTTATTATAATTTTTTTTCATAGTATTCATAGAAAAACATTGATATTTTCACAATGGAGTAATTTACTGAATTAAATGCCATATATCAGCTCAGATAAAGAACATGCTCCAAACCCAACAGCTGCAAAAAACTTCAGACTGAAAATTATTCACTAACTGAAGAATGATTTCAAACAGGGAGATAAAAGTCCAAGCTGTACGTTGACATTACTCACAGTGCTGTAGGGACTGATCTGTGGCCTGGAGGGCAGTCTAGTCACAGAAGTTGACATGAACTGTTTTGTAATGCAGTACTCTGTGTTGCATTTCCCTTCTGCTGCAACATATACAATAGGGACATCTCCTGAAGTAAATGTAGCTGCAAAACCCTAGAACTGTGATTACCAGGATTAAACCTCGTTCAGAAGAGGAGCATGGCTTGATTGCTTACTGTTGCATGTCAGGTGTTTAAGAAGCATAGTGGGATCTGCAACGATCTAAAACAGACAAGAAAGACAAACAGTACCTTTTTATCTGTTTTGATTACACTGTGACATTGACAAAATATCAAATATTATACATAAGCAAAATACTGACATGCCCTCTGTCACTGACTGTTGCCTCCTGCCTCTGATCCCATCCCAGCTTCTGTATCTTTGCTTCCTTATCACCTTGTCACATTGGCTTCTCCCTTCCCATTATCCCATTTTCAGTTTGGCTAGTCCATATATGAGCACTACCTCCACTACCAAAACTCCTATCATCATCAGTGGTGAGATGGGTCGGAGAGCAGGGCAGTGTATGCTCAGGGTATACTCTGAACCAGGTGAGCAATATGGTAAGGAAAGATAAGTGCATCATCCTGCTGGTCTTCTTGGGAAAGGGGAAGAACGCCAAAGAAAAGTGGCAGAAGTGCAGGAAAAGTTTCCACTCTCACTCAATTTTGTAATCATGTTAATATCTCTGGGCCTTTACTTTTCCACCATAGTGTTGGTAATAACTGCAGCAATGCATCCACAGGTTGCTAACAGGTTGGATTTTTCTGTGTGCCCTTTACATTTTTCTCCACAATAAAACAGACCAGGAAGAGTCAGTATTTTCACTTTACTTTTGAGTGGACTCAAACTTTTTTCCTAAAAAACCATTTAGCCAAACCTGTTTTGATCTCCCTGAACTATTATAGGGTTTATTAAGCAAAAGAGTTTGATTAGAAAATACTAAAGTGAAACACTAAAAATTACTTGAATCTTCTTCTTTGCTCTAAGCAATACCTGGCTAACCACTTCTGCTCAGCTCCTCCTGGAAAAAGGAAACTATCAGTGTCAGACCCCTGGGCATAACTACAAGTCCCTGCACACAATCTAATACCACACTGAGAGAAGCTCAAAGATAAATGTATTTTACATTTTCTGAACATAACAGAAAAAATTACACTATAGTCCAAGTCTTTTGTTGAGGTAATTTTTCAAAGTCTCAGTGATGTTTAGTTCAATGAATATAGAATAAAAACAGATAAGCTACTTTCATGGGAAATGTAGTGACAAAAGCAGCTCCCCAGAGCAACCAAGAGGATGGCTTGGCCTGCTTTACTATTTCATCCGAGCTGCAAGTGCTAACAAAAATATCAATTCCAGCAACTAGACTGGTAATTCTCATAATTAAGTTCTCTCTTTATTTTGTATTGATCTCTTTGTAGAGAGCAGACTGAATTTCAGCTTCTAGATACCCAAATATCAGAAAGGGCTTAATACCACTGCCCCAATTTAATTGCTTTCATGCCATCTGCAGTGCTCCAGACCTGCTTCTGCCTACCCAGAAAGACATAGGTCTTCCTTTGGCCCTATGAGAGCCGTAAGCATCTGCATCAGGTGCCCTAGGGCATTTCAGATCACACAAAGTATCGACATTTAGGCAACTGAACAGGGCCCTAAGTGTCTACACAGCAGCTAACCTTCTAAGCAGCTAACCTTCTAAGCTCTCTTAATTAACTCCATGGAGTTAATGGGGCCTGGATCCTACAAAAACACTTCTGGGTGAGCTGGGGCTGGGCCAGAAGCAAGGCTGATAGAGCTATGGCATTATCACCAATGTTATCTGGGATCTTCCGCTGGCACTGGTGCTGCAAGAGCTTCCAAATAGCTACTTCAGCATTTCAAAACCCAGCAAGTCCAGGAGATATCCATCCTCTCTGGCATGAAAAGCAAGCCTCTGTAACCTCTACAGCATTTCAGATAAATAAGACATTTTTTCTGAAGTGGCAAACATTTTGCAGTTTTCAAGAGCATGGGGGAAAAAAGACAACTTAGCAATTTTGTTATTCTGTCATATTCCTGCAAGCATTTTTTTTTAAGTCTTTCTTCTTGCAGTTTATTTACAAGTACTCAATAGGCAACCAGAAAGAGAATTAATTTTCCTGCATGTACAGAGATTATAAAACCACCCCTCTGAGTGTAAAATCTTGCTGTCAGCAAGTTAGATGCAGCCTTACACAGCATTTTTTCTTATACAACAGATAACTGAATCATTTGTGTTTCACTAGCAATGCAGCCTCTGTGCTCTGAAGCTGTGCTTTATGGAGGCAGGCAGGTTGATCCAATGCAAGCAGCTGCAGCAAGCTGCCCCACACTGGCTTGCCCAAGCCTGAAAGCACTGCTATAGGGTTCCTGGTACTTGACAAGGAACCAGCAATATTCACACAGAGCTTTGCTCAGCATACATGCAGAACTGATGGATTTCTTTTGCTTGTAAGTGGCCTGCTGCTGTGCAGATGGCTGCAGTTTGCAGTACACCCCATGGATGAAATACGCACTTAGTCATAATGTCATAACTTCTCCAGGGTGTGCTACCGATGATTACAATGGTATGTTCACACACTGTACATCATTCAGCCACTATTGATCAATGTCACTGTCAGTTCTGCAGTTCTGTTCCCATGAACAGTTTTATGACTGTTTTCCAAAGAGAACTGCTAGAACAACATTAAACACTTCTGAGAAATCCCACTGGCGCGATTCCTGTGTACTTAGCTGATATCCAGATAGGAGGTGAGTCTTTTTCTGGTTTATAAGAGATACGAATTTGAAATTCAAGTTTGTAGAAATCTGTTTGTTGGAGTCTTGTAGTAAAGAGTTCTCTTTTGCAAGTGTCTGCTACTGAAGAAGATACATGAGGGCCCTTATACTAGGGCTCTAGTGGCTTTCCTTAGATAATTTAAACCTGGACCATGATATGTTTGAAGGGCAGGGAGAGCTGGACACTGCATACATGGAAAGTGCTGGTATACATGCCCCAAGTTTCAGTATGGCCTACTGCCATAGATTGTTAGCCTCTGGTTGAAGGCTGAAGCTGAAGAAAAGAGCCAGGTGGGGCAGTGACCCAGTGCCCCTTCCTAGTACTTCCCCAGGCTGGTGGCACAGGTCTGAGGACCATGCATTTTTCTGGCAGTGGTGTTGGCCTCTCCCCTCAGCTCCTGCACCAGGAGTATTGCTTACCCAGGGTGCTGGGTCCCACAGATGCTCTTGGCAGAACCGTAGACCCTTTATGGAGTAGCAGCTCTCCTAAAACACAATTGGCACTGGAATGTCAATGTCTTCCTGTTGGAATAGCTGCAATTTGTCTGTAAACAAAGCCAAGATTTTTTTTAATGTGCTTTTAAGTTGGGTGTGTAAATCTATATTTAGGAGCCCGATTAAGTGGCCTTTTTATCTAAGTGGCTGCTGACCACCCAGACGTCATTTTTTTTAAGCTATCTTCCTATCAGTAGCCTACTCCCTGCTGAAGTCGGAGATATTTGAGAGGCACAGAGCCAGCAGGCTTAATTCTATCCAAGTCATCAGTGTTGGCATTTCTAGCTGCCTACTGCAGGCTTTCAGAGAACCCTAACAGGAGATCCCCAGGAACAGAGTGACATGGACTTGAGGCTAAGCTGGGACTTGTGTCAGCTGAAGGGTTTGCTTCAGTAGCTGACAACAGCTTGAGCACAGGGCTGCCCTTGCCAGACTCTTACCTGACCTTTGGATGGGGACCACGGAGGTACGTGATGCAGGACCACAGCAGACTTTGCACCATAGGCAGTCTGCAGGGGATTCTGCAAATGCAGCACCAGCAGCATGAGGGTTGGCATTCAGTGTTGAAGCAAACCTGAGGGTTTCTTTGTAAAAGAAAGCAAAATGCAATAAGCAGTCTTATTTTCCATGCCTTGATTTTGAAAAATATTTGATCAACAATTTTTGTAATGAAATGGATAGTTGATCATTTTTATTTCCAGGGAAACACAGAAGAAAAGGAGGGGAAATGTTTCAAGTAGATATCTTCCCATCCTAGCAAGCCAGACCTTTACAAAAGGATCCTGAACTACATACCTGATAAATGCTGTCAAGCATAAGAAACATTTGTATGAAAGTGTCACTTGCAAGGGTTTATAATCTCACTTTTATTTCTGGATGCTAAGGAAAGTACCATGAGTTTTACTAAATGAACGTGTTAACATGTATGTTTACACATATACCAAAAATAATAGAACCCCAAGAAAACATAATATTGACTTAACGGAAGCTCACCCATTGATCCTTCAAGTAAAGAGGTAATCACAAGTTGGCCTGTGAAGACATCATAATTGCACACCAAGTAATTACATTTGGAAGCTTCTGCTGCAATTTAACTCAGTCTTTTTTTTTTTTTCCTAAGAGGGCTTGTAAGCTAAAATTATTATGAATGGCAACCAGCCCAGTGGCTCAGCAGCAAAACAAGGTTCTGTCATGTTGTAGACCCCAGTTCAAGGACAGACAAAGTGTCTTGGGCATTGGGCCAACACACACTAGCTGTACTCCAGCAATGGCAGGGCAGCTTTTTGTGAGGAGAAGGGGCCAGTGAGTAATTTCAATCACTTAGCTGAAACGTGATGCTACCAGATGTAGAGGCCACCACAGATTGAACCCTGCCCTCACAGCCACAAAGAAAGGATATTAAATACATACCAATTGGGAGGAAGAGCCATGAAAATGTGGAGGAAAAATGTGTAGTAAAATCTTTCCTGCACTCTAATTGCAACTTTGGCATTCTCTGAAGGATACGTGACTAAAAAAGCAAACCAAGAGTTATATTTGCAGACGCTTTAGTTAAATGATACCATTGTTAACTGAACCTTGGAAAGACAGCAGTCAGGGGTTAGCATGGTGTCTACATGGGACATATTTAAAATCACAAGAGGAATGTCCCATGTGGTCACAAGGAACTTCATTACCATGCACAAAGTCATAATTTGTATTTACACCAACAAGAGGCAGATGAAAATCTGTGCCATGTACTTACACATTGGGCTTTTTATTGACTGTATAAAGCTGAAATCATGCAGTTTGACAAAACACGTAAGTGAAAAAGCTATGAGTGAAAACATCGTGTTGTTAATGACAAATTATAACCTTTCTCTACACTTTGGAACCAGTGGGGAACTGCATTTAAAATGAATGGTATGAAAGTTCATGGATATTTTGTGCAAACTTTGATGTTGATGCAAAATGTTTGCACTGAAAGCAAAAACTCCAGAACTGACAGGTGCATTTAAGCTATTAGAAGTTATAACAGACATATTTATTGGCATCTAAGGAACCGGTTATAAAAATGTAGAGCTCCTTTTAATTACTTTCCTTTATTTACCTTAGATCTCCAAGATGCAGACACTTTTGTATGGAGTACTACAACTACATCCTCCCCTTTAAATACTACTACCTCTAGGCCTGACAAGCTGCCAGCAAGTAGCAGCACACAGATGTCCATCAGAAATGTGACTGAACACTTCACAAAAAGCTTCATTGAAAACCTCTACTTTGACTTGAAATCTGCAGTAACAGAGAAACCCACAGTCCCAACTACTCCACAATACTCCAGCACTACGGAGGAGGTAAGGCAGACAAATTATTGATTGATTTTTATTAAGCCTGCTCCACTCTGTGGAGCATGAGAGCTATTACAGGTGGATGTTTCACAGACTAAAAAAAGCTAACTGCAGGACTGCGCTTTGTTCTTTATTTTGATGGGATTCTTTGTTCATGCTGATAGTTCCCTTTGCTATAAGTACATCTGCAGAAAAAATCTGCCTCTTCCGTACAGCACAATCGTGGTGCACACAGTGCTTTGGGAAAATGTCTAAGCTACAGGAAAAATGTTCAGGATACGTGAGTAGCAATGGAATGCTCGTGGATGTGGCAGGAGACACAGGAGCTGGGGTATCCGTTCCCAGCAACTTAGCCTCTGCCATGGGTTTGTTGCATGATGTGAGGGTCTTGCTCTAACTCTGTTCTAAGAAACAGTGTGTTTTATGAGCTCTTTTAGGATATTTGAGTTCTAAAATTGCATACATGGCTTGTAGTCTAAAGCAAGTAAAAACTCAGTATTCTAACTTGCATTATGAGAAACCCTTCCCTTGACCCTGGTCAGCTTATCTGCTGACTGATAGAGGGAAGACACAGCTGCTCCTTCATCTGTGTGCTGTTCCAGAGTCCAAACAACTCCGGCAGAGGAGGGGAATGCAGGTGCCAGCCCCATACACAGAAGAAGCTAAAAATGAGCATTCAGTATGTCCTATCTTCTGTTTTTGTCTGGGCAAGCCACAAACAAGAGCAAATTGAGAGCAAATCTGGCATCATCACTGGCAAAACATCCACACCTAAAGCACTCAGGAGATGATTGGTCACCATTTTGCTATCAATACAGAGGGATTAGAGCTGAAAATCCCTAAATCCCCTGGCTTTTTGTTCAGGAGAGTGCACTGCACTCTATTTATTAGGGTCAGTGAATGTGTTTCAGCTATTACTTTCGGCATTAGTGTTACTGTAGATGAGAGTAAGAACAACAGGAGCTTCTACATATCCTGATTATTTTAAGGAAATCCTGTACAGTCTGGTTTGAACAACATCACTACAGACTGCTTCAGACAGGGAGAAAGTAGAATTGTCACCCAGGACAATGTTGATGCAAATTACTGACTTCAGGGTTTATGGACCCTGTCAATACTATTCTAGTGCTGGCCACAAGGGACTGAGCTGATGACGGATGCACCGCACCCTGGTCCAGATGGATGATGGATGGTTCTTTCAAAATATCATTATTTGGGGTTGGTGCAGGCAGGCTGAGCTAATTACCCCATGTTCTCTGCTCATATGTAAGCCTCCTGCACAGAATATTTGTCTCTTCCAAATGGAAATGCCCTGTGGAACCAGGTATTACCTGACTAGCCTCCAGCACTCCTACTGAATAGCCCCATCAGTGCTATAGGGAAGGCACTGTTTGAATTGAAGCTATCACCTCCTGGGTTCCTACCCCAGCTCATCTCATTCGCTTGGCTTGCATTGAGCAAGATGCTTAGGTCAAAGCCTTCAAACCCAATTCCTGAAGATAAGCACGAAAAAAATTCATGAGTATGTCCCTTGAAATGTCCAGCCATGTCTAGCCACTCGAACCTAGATACTCCATTTTGGACAGACATATTTTGGGGGGGGAGGGGAGGTGGACAACAATGCTAACACTTTAATCAAACAAAATATTTAGTTTAGAGCAGCCTTGAATTTCAACTAAAACTGCAGCTTGCACTTTCAAGCCACGACAAAAGCTATGCAAAGCCCATTTCCTCTTGATTAGAGAGACAGAGAGAGGTTGGTGTAAAAAAAAAAGTCAGGAAACCTTGGGAAAGTGTCTGAAAGAGATTTTGGAGCCTGCTATTAGAGACACATCCGGCCACTCCCAAAAGTCACTTCCAGTTCTTTTTTTTTTTTTTTTTTTTTTTCTTTTTAATTAGTTTCTTGGCTTGCCACACAGATCAGTAAGTGTTAAAGACTGCATGACTACTGATTTGCTAAAAGCCCATTTATTCAATAGCACTCTGGAAATAATTATGTCGACTATTCTATACACATATATTACCACCAGTGAATGAATGATCCCCCCTGCTTTATTTCAGTGTTGGCATAGACATCTGTGGTAGACATTACTTCTAAAGCAGTTTTGTATGCTGTACAGAAAGAAGTCCCAAAACCCATAAACCTGTACGTTCTTGCTAATGTAACTAGAACAGGTTAAGGATTTTATGGCAAGAATCAGAGTAATAAAGCAAGAATTTCTAATTTTTGGGCAATGGTGAGAAGCAGCAACATGACTTTTCTCCATGTATTATCTTATGTTAGCAGGAAAAGACAGACATTTCCAAGAATCTTTAAATTTCACTTTTGATAAGTTACATTTATTTCCTGGGTCTTGTAAGTTTGCAGTAACTTTTTTTTCCTTTACATTACATCTATCTAATTTACACCTACATCTGTACATCTGAATTAAGAGTTCCCCTGCAAGTTCAAGTCATGAATATACTTTAAAAAGACCCTGCAATGCAAGCTCCATTTTCCAAGAAAATGCAGGTTGTTCTGAATATTCTCATTTTCAGAGAGGGGTCTGAAGTGCTCCAAACATCTCAATAAACATTCAAATTTGCTCTTCTTCAGTGCCAGAAAAATGTTGAAGTAGTTTATGACACTCACTCACCAAACCATAATTATCTAAAAATGCAAAAATCTCTGACCTGGAACTGACTGCAAGACACTTATATCAGTTTAGTCCCAGTCCCATCTAATACACACACCATCAACAGATTATCACTGAAACAGCTCTTTGAGGCACAGTCCTCTCTTTTATCTTAAGTATGTAAAACTCTTATTCCAAAGGAGATTTAGCTCTGCAATGAGCTCATCAATTCCATAATAATCAATATATATTTATAACATCAAGTAAGATTATTGATCCTAAAGTTATTGGACATCATGGGTCTGCAGCATAAAGCTCAACACTGTCTGTGCCAGGTCCTTAGGACCATGCATGGTGCTGCATGGGGACAGATGAAGGTTTCCACAAGCACAGGTAAGCACCCACCAGTGCTAAGACCTTTGGCTTCCCAGTGCAAGCGAAGGTTTTTTAGATATCTGCATTGTGTTTGACAGGTGAATGCCCCCCAAAATGCTACAGCAGCACTTGTTGTGAAAGGCAGACTGACATTTTCAAACGGTAGCAGCTTTTTCTCCCTAAATATCAACCTGGGGCAAAAGTGAAACAGTGATGAACTTGCTGCTTTTACAAGTTAAAACTATGTATGCATGTACAGAAAGATGCAGAGAAGTGCTACTTCCATCTGAAAAACATAAATGTTGAATTCTTTATGCAACCACAAATTTACCCGATTATCTGATGGTCCAAAACAATTTTAACAGTGATTCTTCTCCCTCACCTCACCCCCGCATCTGCACAGACATGAATGTTAAGAGGCTGAAAACTTAAATAAAAGGAAATGGGTGTGCATGACAGAAGTGGAGAGCTGTGCTGAAGCTATAGCTGAATTCAGAGTTTCTCACAGCTTGTTTTGTGCTTTCTTTAAACACAGAGTCTTTTTGCTTTCTCTGGTGTGTAATTTTAGCTTGGGAGTTATTCTGGGGAATATTTCAGGGACAGGCGTTGATGCAAAGCAAAACAAAAAGCTTGGCCCCTGATACACGGGCTGCTCCTCTGAATATGGGACTGAAGGTGGCAGGTTGGCTCTGCAGGAGCCCTGCTGGCCTTGTGATTCTCGCCATAGTGCTGCGGGATGAGGGAGAGGGTGGAGGTACACGGTGCACCTTACATGCCCCTGAGGCTGTCCCCAAGGCAGAGGTAGTGGGGATTAGCCGTGCAGATCCCGTGCAGAAGACACAAAAGGGATGTTTTCTCACAAAAATAAATAAGTAAGTAAATAAATAAATAAAAAGGAGAGATGGAAGAGACATTTTGGGATGGCTGAGATCTAAAGGAGACAAGGCAGGCAAGCAGAAAGGTGGGCGTGAGATGAGGGACAGGTGAGGTGAGGAGGGCAGGAGGCGTGAAATGGCGGCCGCCCGCATAAGGGGCCCGTACGAGTGGGGAAGGAAGGGAGGGTGGCAGAAGGGGCCAAGAGGAAAGTGAGGAAAGAAGAGCTGGGGAGCAGGGGGAGGGAAGGATTCGGGGGCGGCGTCCCAGGCCCCACCGCCGAGGACGACCCGCACCCCTCGGGCCGCCTGTTGTGGACCCCGGGACGCCGCCCCCGCATCGAGCAGCGAGGAAATCGCCTTTTGATTGCGGAAGTCCGCGGAAAGGGCTCCAGCGGAGTCAGCCCGGGTCAGAATGGCAGCGTGGGAAGCGGCGGCCGCCTCCCACGCCTCCTCCGCCCCCCGCTCCTCCTCGGCCGCCGGGCAGCCCCCGCGCACCCCCCGCCGCCGCCCCCCCTCCCCCCCCCCCCCCCCCGGCCGCAGGGAGGCGGCGAGGCGCCCGGGGCAGCCCCGAGCGCATGCAGCAAACGGGCGGCCCGGCGGAGGGCTGGCTGGGCGGCCGCCGCGGGGAGCCAGCCCGGCGGGGAGCGGGGCCGGGGGCGCCCCCAAGGTCCGCGGGCCGCTCGCCTTCTTTATCCTCCCCCCTCCCCGCGAGGGGTTCCGCGGATAAAAGCGCGCGGCGATGCTCAGCTATGGAGCGGGAATCGCTCTGTGCACGGTGCTGGCGCTCAGCGAGGTGAGGAGGGCTGCGCAGGTGGGTTTGCCCCGAGAGCGGCAGCGGGACCGGCCTTGGGGCGGCGCGGCTGCCGGCGGGCGTCGCAGCGTTCTGCCCGCTCTCTCTCCGCAGGCCGCGCGCGGGGAGGCTGCGGGCTGCAGCGCCAACCTGACGGAGCGCCGCGTGGCCGCGCGGAGCGCCTGGCTGCGCTGGAGCGCCGCGGCCCGCGCCTGCAGCTTCAACCTGACGGGACGCTCCGAGGACGGACTGCCCGCCGGCTGCCGGCCCGCCAGCGCCGGCAATGGTTCCTACGGCTGCACCGTGCGAGACTTGGAAGCCGGGACTTGGTACCACCTTCGCATCGAGCCGCTCGCCGACGGGGAGGCCGCCAACGTCACCCTGCGGACAGGTAAGGCGCTGCCAAAAGCTAGCCTGGCGGGCTGGAAGGGAGGCTTGGCCGGCGATGAGCGCGTTCTGCCGCTCCTCAGCCCCTCGAGCTGCCTGCCGGTGCAGTGCTTCCAGAAGCAGTGACCGGTGGCATCCTTTGCGCTCATCCAGACCTGTTGGCTTCGTAGTTCCTCGGGTGATAGCACAGTTGTGTTTAAAATGCAGTCCGTGTCATGACTGCTGGATGCAGTTCAAGGATAACTCACGGTTTCTTTCTGTCTAATACCGTGTCATACTTTTTTGTCCCATCTCATCAGAGTGTAGAAGTCAGCAAGTAAGGCCTTCTTGCATTTTCTTGCGCGTCCCTGTGTGCTGAATACCGCTAAGATGTTATGATGGGCTGATGAGTGAGGAGCATGGCTGTGCTGGATCCATGACTGACTGTGAAAATGCTCCAGCAGCATTTCCCTTTGTGTGTGTGTGTCTGTGTGTGCATGTGAACAACGCACCACTGTGAAGCGAAGAGCCACACTGAGCAACCAACTGCAATGGTAGAATAATGGGACTCTTTCTGTGCATATCAGTGTTTTTTTAAGGATGATGATGTCCAGTTCAGCCTCTTACAGGTGCTAACACAAGCTTCAAAAATGAGATGTCTTAAATAAGGTCTGTCATTAAGTGCCTCCCTGACTTACTCCTAAAATCTTAGCATCAGAGATGGTTTAGTATTTGCACTGAAGGCTATGGCAGCTAAGCACTTAGCAGTTGGTTAAGCACTTCACAGTTGCTTGTTCAGACACCTCATTTACTGTCAGACATTTTCTCTGCGGTAACTCTACAAACACAGTAAATGCCCTCCATTCATTTGCCTTGGCAGCTGAAGTTTAAAAAGGTCTAGTGGCAAGTCTGCTGATGTGGTAGGTATACGCTAAACACAAGTAGTGTCTCTTGGTAGAAACAAGAAATACTTTCTATGCAAACAGTGGTTTAGGTCCATATCGTATACAATCCCAAATCTTTCAAATATTGGTAACTTGTAATTTGAAAATTGAAAGAATAAATCAACCATTATCAGAGTGACAGGTATGAAACACCACCAGTGCCAGGTACTAGAGCTCTAAGAAGGTAGAGAAGAAGATAGCACTTTAAATCACATTTGGTTAATGCATAATCATTTAGGCAGTAGTTTGCATATGTCACTTATGACTTTTATCAGTAAATGCATTTTGCGAGACTGTGAAATGAAAGAAGTAACTGATGGAACTGCTGATTGTAGCTATACTGTATCAGCAGTACATGTAGCTGATGTCAGAGTCATAAGACTGATGACAGTTCGAGCTGAAATACTACAAATTAGCTGACGGTAGTTGAAGCGTGGTTTCTGTTTGGGTTGCATAGCAGAGATTTGTCAAAAGCATGAAATAAGAATAGAGGAGCTGTGGTTTCCTTCCAGTTCAGCTGGTCAAATTATGGTTTCTCACATCTTTCAATTCAGTTGCATCTCTTGCATTGCTTGATAGTGTTTAAAATATGCATGTAGCTCCAGAACTTGATCTAAAGAATATGTAGGGTTTGTTAGACCCCTCATCAACCGTATGTTGTATTGTCTACGCTATGCATTTCAGTGCAGAATGAAGTCCAGTTCTATATTCCTCTGTGTTTCCACTAGGGGCAGCATTTAAAGCCAGTTTTCTGGAACTTCTCTTCACCTGTACCGTTCCAAGTTGGTGTCAGTACTTTTGGTTTATGGTATATGTTCCTGGAGACTGTCTGATGGATATGGAAGTATAAGCAATATTTTCAACCATGTTGTAAACAAAATTCCCACTGACTTGAATGGTAGCGGAACCGAGCTATCATGAGCCATCTAAAAATACGATGTCTGACTTTGCTACTCATTGAGGTTCCCTTCCTGAGCAGTTCATCTAAGAAAGCTGTCCTTTGGAGGTGCACAGCTTTCTTCACTGATCACAGAAAGAGCTTAAATTGGGAACCTGAAGTTTAGATGGTCAGAGTAAGAGGAATCATATCTCATATGTTTACTTTAGCAAAATTAGCTTTTGAATGCCTGTGTTACCTTAATACAATAAATGAAGACAGAGAAATTCATAGGTTCATGTATATACATAATTCAGAAACTTTAACTTCATCCTTACATCCAATCCTATTACAGTTTTTATGTACTCATTCCTGTTGGGAGTTCACTTCTTCATCACATTTGTTATACAAACTACTGGAGCAGCTAAATCTACAACATCCAAAATACTTCATCAAATTTTGATTGTGATGTTTTCTGATACAAGCTCATAGTGAAAGTGATTAATAGTGCATACCATAGTTGCAGTTATGTAAATGATTGGAGAGCATCAGCTCCTTAACTGAACTTAGCCTTTTGGGTCTTTAATTTTACAATTAGATGGTCATTGAGGTGTATTTTGTCTGTGCTATATACAAGTCGGATATTCTGAGAGAATAAGCATGTAGCTCAGCAAAACTACATAAGCTCTCATGTAATATCTTAGTGAATCTATGAGCAGAGCAGCAGCTTCCATTCTGAGTGCATACATCTGAAATCCAACAACTAGGAGTAGTGATGCGGTAAAACTCACTAGTCCACTGAGGCGCAGTCCTTTGCATCTATTACTCAATGAAAATTTTATCTACAGATTAATTAAAGTGGCAAGTACATAATCCTCTAAAGGAGAGCTAACGTAGATCTTTCAAAAAATGGTGACAAATCCAATCACTTACATGCTATCTAAGCCTGGTGTATACAGACATGCAAACTCATGCAGTGTTGGCCGTTGCACTATTTTGACAGAATAGGAAATGAAGAAAGGGCACTGCAGTTACATTTTCCACTGAAAACCTGAGTTTACAGATGCTAGTAGACATGAGTCTAGATGTTTAGTTTACGTAAGATTAATATTTATCATTTGTTACGTGGTTTAGTGTACATATATTTGTATAAAACAACATATAAAACCATGCAACTAGTTGGCATGTTTGACATTCTGATGTTGGAACAATGTATTCACCTGTTGGTGCATTCTTGTCTTCTTTATTGATCTCAGTATAACTCCGTTACTAAGAGCTGCTGTGTGATGAAAGGTGGTATTGTGCCTTTGTTGATTTCAACGAAAATGCATTTTACATCCTCAATTCTGCAAATGTGTGTGCATCTGCATAACTTTGTATTTTGGTGGTATATCTTCAGGAAATGGCTCTAGGTTTTTTAAGCAAATTTGCAATTGAAAGCAGTGGTGTATGAAGAGATTCTAATTTACAGTTACATTTATGAATTTTGATTCTGAATTGAAATTCAGAAGTAAAATGCTGGTCTTGGGGACCATGAAAAACAACTGGAGAATTTCCTTGCTTTCAATACATTTTCTAAAATAGGCTTAGAGATCAGATTTTCAACTTTTTTTTTAAACAGAATTATTACAATAATATATTTTGCTTCTGCTTAATCCAACTTAGCTGTACTGAAAGAACTAACAGGTAAATAGAATTTTGTCCAAACAAATTGCTAAATATTTGAATGAAAAGAGGTTACAAGTTTTTACCATCTAAGAAACAGACTGGCAGAGTATTTCCATTGCGACGCACAGCTGTAAAAGCCAGAAGCATGGCGTGGCCATGTGTTTGTAAATTTCAGATTATTTGGGATAAATCTGATTTATTAGCCATGTGTAAGAGCAACTCCTGTGATGTGGCTCCAACTATAGGCTGTGTAATCATGTAATCTATAATCAACCATAATGGTGGTGATCATTGTCTCGAAAGGTAGAGTTCAAAAAAAAAAAAGCAATGTAGATTGTTCTGAAGATTTGATGTTACATGTCAGCCAAAACAAATGGGCATTTGGACTTAAAGACATTGAAATGAAGCCTTTTTGCTTAATCTTCAGAAAAATCTTGTAAAGTAGGTAACATTTACTGTTTTCTGAAAAGGGATAACTAGAAAAAAGCAAGTGATTTGGTAGGAAGAGCTGAGACTGGAAGTCAAGAATTCCCCATCCTCAGTCCTAAGCACTCACTTATCTCAGTTTTTTGGGTTTTTTTTCTCCTGCATAATGCAGGGGTGAGTTTGTGCTTTCAGAATGGATTTGGGAGTCACGTCATGGTGACAGGATGAAACTATATCAATTGCTTCTATAAAATATGTTTATAGCAGCAGTGTCCACAAAGCAGATTCTCCCTCTCGGAAGTTAAAATGAAGGTGCAGTGTAATCCAAGCAACATCAAGTCTTCTGGACTTTGTAGACCAAGAGACATTAATTCATATAGTATTAAATGGTACATAAATATCTTAGAAATTTTTTTATTTCTGTGATATATCAGTGTTGTACTGTTGCCAGCAGAGAATTGTATAACAATGTAAATGGCTTTTTAAGTGTTTGTTTCCATCCAGGTCTCTTTCAGCCCAGGCACTTCCCAATCTCATTGTTCCTTTGTTCTAACGGATGTACAGAGCACTGAGTGTTTTGTTTTCTGGACCAGATAGATTAGATAAAGTCTGAATTTCTGAACTTCACCTTCTAGGCACGCAACTCTTTTTTTTTTTTTTTTTTTTTCTCAATGCACCTTGGAAGACAGATTGATTAGGATAGTATAAGTACTTCTAAAAATGTAGGAGGTGTCTTGTAGTATTTGACAAACAGTGTGGTTTACAATGTTGATTACTTCTGCAGGACTAGTGACCAGTGCACCTTATCCTAACTTTGTCAGAGAGAGAGTTGAACTTCTTGGCAATTATATCATGACTATTTTCTGGTTATTGGTCAAATTAAAACTTTTTCAGACGTCTGTGTATCTGATCATACATAGCACTGGAATTTATTTCAGATTCCCCAAATTTGACCTTTTCCAATTAGATCAATTGCTTTCAAGCAACAAGTCCCTGCTATTCGCTTTTGCCAACATAATAGTCTTTAGTCACTTAGTATATTTTATAGGTGGAGCTGGTACTCTTAGCCTATTGTTAGGATTTCCTGTCACTTTTTATTAAAACCTCCAG